AAGTAAAAATGTAAATTTGTAAAATAGAAACATTAAACAAGCATCATTTTTAACACAAATTATTAGCAGATAAAGTCTAAAACTATCACAAATCAGAGGAGCCTAAAAAGACATAAAAACTAAATGTGATTTGGTATTCTACATGGGATCCTGGAATATGAAAAGGACATAAGGACATTAGGTAAACACTAACGAAGTATGGACTTCAGTTAATAGTACTGTATCAATATTGGTTCATTAATTGTGACAAATGAACCATACTCATATAAAATGTTAATAATAGGGGAGACTGGGTGAGGAGTATATGGGAACACAGTCCTATCTTCATAATTTTTCTGTGAATTTAAAACTATTCCAAACTAAGTTTGTTAAAAAAGAAATAAAGTCTTATTCAAAAATTAGCAAACTAAACATTATCTAAAATGAAGAAAACTTTGAAAGTTATTACGAAGTACAAATGAAATATTATTTCAAAAACAAAGTGGATCAATGATATCATTGAGTATTGTGTGTGTTTTAGTACAAATTGTTCTAAGTGATGAAAAGCCCTTTCTGACTTTGGGTGGTTTTGTTCAGCAAGTACTTGCATCATAAATTGAATAGTTGAGTCCTTGACCCTCATCTCAATACATAAGTGATACTGATTTTAGATTTTTAACCTATCAAAGTTAGAATAATCCACCAACAAAGTGCCAGTATTTCAGTAATTGCCAGAATATCAAAAACTCGCATTGCAATCATTATTTGGACCTCATTTCTCCCTGGAAACATGACAAGAGAAAGGGAGGGGTCCCTTCCTCCAGTTGATGTGGGAGGCAGGAGGCCAGGCTGGGAACAGCTATTGGGCAACTCCCTTGACCCTGGATAGTCCAGGCTCTTTTCAGTCTCACTGATAGAAACCTACCCAAACTAGCTTAGACGGAAGGGAATTTACTAGAAAATAGTGGGCTAGCTTTTGGAAACTAACAAAGGGAGGGTAGTGGTGCAGCTCGATTTCCAGGAGAACTACAACTACCAACTCAAGCACCTCCAGACTCTGACTCTGTCCCATAGTCATGGTCAGCCTCATACCATTCTTAAAAGGAACTGGCCCATGGTCTGTCCAATTCCAAGTCCAGAGACCCTAGAAAGGGGCTCTGTTTGGCCCCTGGATCAGTCAACTCTGGTTCACCCTGAGGGTGTAGATAGGGTCACTGGGCACTCACCCAGCGGTACTGAGGGCTGGTCACAGGGAGGGGAAGTTGATAAGAGCTGGGCACACATTCCGTTTTCTTTCTTAGAAGAAAACAATATGGTTGGGACCTAATCTAGGAGGGAGAGCACCCCTAGGATTTGCTGCTTAGGAGGGCCCAGGCTCTCGGAACACAGACCAAAAAGAAAGAGGGGAGATGAGAAGCTGCTCATGTCACCTTTCCCTCCTTATCACTTCCCTAGGCCCAGTCCAAATCCTCATCCTGTAAGCTTTTCCCCCAGCTTCTCACTTCCAGGTCCCAGTCCCTACCCTCGTCCCCAAGCCACATGAGGCTGTCTGTGCGACATGACCTTGGTCCTTCCTCAATTGCATGGCCCAACAGTGGGTATCTACACAAGCTGATCAAGTCAGTCTCTTCCCTTGGCAGACATCAAGAGTGAGAGTGAGTGAGACATAGCAGTGCTCCTCTGAGTGGCTGAGTGAGTGGCTATGACTCATGAACGAGTGGCAGACATGTTTTCCACCACATGTCTTGAAAAACCAAGGCAGGTGGTTTGCAATGAGGGCAGAAAATGAAACAGACACGGGGAAACAAAAAAGGAGCTGGAGAGACCCTATGGCACTTGATTTCTGGTTAAAGCTTGTGTGCAGCCCAGCCATAACCCTTTGGGTCCTATGAGGTAACCCTGTGTCTTTCCAATAAATCTTTCTGCTCAAGCCAGCTGGAATTGCTTTCTGTTATTTGAAACCAAGAGAACACTAACCAAGAGAACACTAACTGTTGTAAGTAGAGAGCCAAGGACAGAGTCCTAGGTGACGTCAACATTTACTGGGGCAGCAGAGACAAGAGTCTCCTAAAGAGACTGAGAAGAAATGGTTGACGATGGAAGAGGAAGCTGTTACCACTTCTCTCTCCAATACCCCAACCTCTACTTGACCTCTCACGTTATCAGCTCCAGGCTTCCCCTATGGCAGCAGCTCTCAAGAGATCACCAATGATCTACTGATGACCAAACCCATCAGCCCCTCTCAGACCTCACCACACTTGTCCCGAGTCCTTCTCTTTTTAGCCTCCATGACATTGTTCTCTCTTGGTATTTCTGTGCCCATTTTCCCCACTGTCTTTCCCTGTTTGCTCTCCTACAACCATCCCATAAGTGTTAGTTTTCTCCAAGGTCCTATAATTGGCCAATCTTTTTGATCAACACATTCTCCAAGGATGATTTCACCCACTCCCAAGACTTCAGCTATCACCTTTATGCGTATGACTCCACAAGCAAATCTTTAGTCTTGATCCCTGCTCAACCTCGGCCTGTGTTTTCATTTGCAATACAAACTCATTGAACTACAGTCAGAGTCATTGTTTCCTCTAATTTTCAAAATTGGTTCCTCATTCTGTGTTTTCTATTTCTGTTAATGGCAAACCACTCCCTGCCCCCAAGCTGTCATTCAAGCCAGCTGCCTAAGAGTTCTTTTCACATCTCTCCCATCTTCCTTCACTCTGACATCCAGTAAGTCACTGAGTCCTTTTGAGTCTGTGTCTGCAAAAACTTTCATGACTTTTTCCTCCATCCCATCAGAATCTCCCTGCCCATGTTCTTATTCCTGCTACCATCCTTCCATCCAGTCATTTGTTTTTTCACTCATTCATATAAAGATGAGTAAAGGATATGTGGATAAGTAAGACCCAGACCCTGCTGTCAGGAGATTTAGTCTAGCATGTCAATTATCTTCCCAAAGCACAGAAAAAATTATTTTTCCCTGTTCAAAAGCTTTTGGTAGCCACTTTTTCTATTAGATAATGTCTAAACCCTTAATATGCCATTCAAAGCCCTCTATAATCTGGTCTCCACTTACGTTCAGCTTCATCCTTCACAACTACCTCTACCATTCCATCTCACAACCAGGTAGCTCACACACACACACAGTCTCTTAGCCTAAAAACACGAAAATGGCAACTAGATCTTTGCCCAAAACAGAAAACCCAAAATAGAAAAGTAACAACAAAACTTGAAATTAATAGCTGATGAGATAATAGGAAAATGCCATCCTCATCCTAATGAGTATTTTTTCCCTCACAGTTGCCACCTTGAGAAGGGGGAAGGGGAACTAATTGTGCTAGGTATTTTGTATTTATTTTATTTTATCCTTGAAAATTTATTGAGATGGATATTAGTCATCCGCTTTTATAAATGAGGACAATCTCAGAGAGTCTAAGTCACTTGGCTCAGGCCAAGTGATGGGGATGGCTGGAGGGTGTCAGGGTGGTGATTCTAACCTGTCAGCCTGACTAAACACACATACCTTTCTATTATGCTACATTGCCTCCAGTGGGAAAATCATCTATGACATTGGTCCATATTGTGTGGTTACACTTTGTTTTTGACCCAAGATGAGTTTATCCAGATTCATTGGCCATCCCAGGTCAGGCATCTAGCACATAGTAGGTATTAAATATTAATTCCCATCTTATACATCTCCAAGCTTAACCCAAATACCATTGGGTTATTAATCAAACCCACTTTCAAAAGACAAAGATTTGCCACCAGAGACAATATCTTTTAAAATGTGCTGCAAGTTCTAAAGGCGATTTTCAAAGAGGAGTTCTGGAAATGCTCTGAACAGTGAAAGCATTTTTTGAAATAGATGTGCATTCTCACTGGACAACACTCACTTATGTGTGTAAATTCTAA